AGGGCAGAATGGTCACCGTGTCACAGTAGCAGCTTCTGCTCAGTGTGGGGCCGCCATGACAGCCTCGCAAAGGAAGGCTTCATTGTGTGCTCTTCACAGGTAAGGAGACTGAGGCCCAGAGTGGCTAAGAGATTGGCTACAAGGCCACATGGTCATCTAGCTGAACTATGGGTAGAACCCAGTGTGTCTGGCCATTAGAGAGGGCACTCAGAAGGACAAAACCTGACTTGGGAGTGGCTGAGGAGGGTGATCGTATGGGACTGCTGAAAGGGCTTCTGGGAGGACAAGTTCACCCTGCCCATGGGGAACTGCAGCCCCAAGATGTTTGGTCCGTGCGAACGGGAACAGAGTAGACCAGGCAATGAGCTGCGCTCTTGCCATGAGTATTGACTCCCCAGAGCACCCAAGAGCCCAGCTGAGGTGAAAGGATGCTATGGAGGTTGCCCTTTTAACCATTTGGTTGCCTTTGTCCTGGACAGCTTCTATGGCTCTACCTGAGGTACCAGGCAGGGATCAGGAAAAACGAGGGTTGCTGATCTGGAGGTGCCCAGTGGCCCCCCAGATGCAGTTTGTCTAGATTCCCTTCAGGCAGAAGACTAGGCTTCCCACTGCTGGCCCTTGGTGTCACATCTTCTCTCCCCACCCTCCCCTCTGCCCCTCTGGAGGCCTTCCTGTCTACTGGCTGTCTTTGGGCCCCACAGGCATCATCGATTCTGCTTATCCCTCCCCTTTGGATGTTCCCCATCTCTGAGCTGCCAGCCAGGTGGGCCCCTGGCCACCAGAGATTGGAGTCAACAGTGAGGCTGTCGGTGTTCCCAAGCCGATGTGGTAGGCACCGACATCCACGCATCTGTGTTGAGGTGGGAGCTGGTCTGCCCCGTTAGCTGCGAGAGGGAGGCCGGACTGCTGGAGATGCTCGCCAGGCCCTTTAGGAGAACAAAGGCAGTGCCCGTAAACAGATAGATTCGACTTGACTTATTGTGGAGGATGCGAGGTACACACTGTATAAGAACCAAGTTCCAGAGCCCTTTGTTGAACACTCCATGGGTCCAGCGTGCAGTCTGGGGTACGACGGGAGGAGCAGGCCCAGCCCTGGCCCTCAGGGAGGAAGCTCCTTTCCCAGGAGACAAAGTTAGTACACAGAAGGCCCTAGAGAACATTGTTCATGAGTACATGGTCCATATGAACTAGGTGGTTCTGACAGGACCGGAGACACAATTCATGGGCCCAGTGAAAAATGAAAATACAATACCCTCGTTCAAAAATTATTAGGAATTTCAAGACATTGACTGCAAAGCAGTAAACGAAGCATTGGGCTCTTCTAAGGGTAGGCCGTGTGTGACTCTGCTGGTCGCAGGCCCAGCAGAGAGGAAGGACCAGAGTGGCCAGCGGGGAGCCTTTGCTGTGTGGCCAGGGGCAGCCCATGTGTTTGTGGACCGTGTTGGATACTTCACACACAAAAAAAATCTTTTAAACCTCTCATTTCCTGACACCTCTGCAGAACCCAGGGATCCATTTGGGAAATATTCTTGCTGTCTTTCAGAGGAGGGTTTCAAGGCTGGGGAGGTAAAATAGCCTCCCCAGAGTCATACAAGAGTCAGAGACAGAAGTAGAGACAGGACAGTATTTGGACCTGAGCCAAAGGCTGTGACGGTCCTTCTCTAAGTCCTGCCTGCCCCTGTTCCTTCTTTTGACCCTCAGATACCAGCCCACTAGGACCACAGTAAGACCTGGCCCGGTCCCAGGCCCTTTCCTGGGAGGGAGTTTGTCAGGAATGCCCTCTCTCACTTCTCAGACCCTCTCCCTGACCTGCCTGCCCAAGGCCCCTCACAGACCACAGCAGGGCCAGTGCACAAGGTTGGTCCACTCCTGCCCTGCACGGCGCCCACTGGGTGCACCTGCCAACCTAGCCCTTTTGTACCTTTATGGGCACCTTTCCAATCTGCCCCCACCCTAACCGAGTGTGACATTTTACAACTAGATTCCTACCTCCTGGCAGGCTATCCAGGGCCACCAAAGAGGCCTCCCCGGATTATGGACGTGGCACCCTCCTCTCCTTCCCCCGCGTGGAGCGCACCACCCAGCCACCTCCAGGTGGCTCCTCCTCCTGACCCCGAACTCCCGTTACCCTTCCTGAGAGGCCCCCATCCCTGTGGCATATTTACAGAAATGCCACTCAGCAGAACAACCCAAATCAAATGAACATTAACGGGAAGCTGCGAGCTCCCAAATTAGTGGTGCATAATTAGTTTCATGCATAAACCTCTCGAAAGCACCGGGCACAGGCTGGTGAGTGAGACAATTAGTTTTTCCGAGGATGAAGAGGAAGAGAAGAGGAGGGCTAGGGGTAAGCGAGGAGGGCTAGGGGTAAGTGAGGAGGGGGTGGCCGGAGAGGGGCCTGGGCCGAGTGAAGTGCAGATTGCATTTGTGCAGCAAAACTCCACGCAGCTGCCCGTGTAAACCCTCAGTCTTCCAGCCTGGGCTCCTCCAGAACCCCACTACCATCCAGTCCCACTGCACCCCCAGTGTGGGGTGTTCTCCATGGTCCTGGCCACAGGATACATGAAGGAAGGCCTCTCCAGGCCCCTGGCTGGGGCTGAATGGAGAGACGCTTTGACCACCCTTAGGCCCTTGGGGGGTGTCATGGATTGAATTGTGCCCCCTCAAAATATCTGTCAACTTGGCTAGGCCATGATTCCCAGTATTGTGTGACCATCTACCATTCTGTCATTTGTATGATTTTCCTACCTGCTGTAAAACCTACCTCTATGATGTTAGTGAGGCAGGATTGGAGGCAGTTATGTTAATGAGGCAAGGCTCAATGTACAAGATTAGGTTGTGTTTTAAGTCAATCTCTTTTGAGATCTAAAAGAGAGAAGCAAGTAGACAGGGGGACTTCATATCACCAAGAAACAAGAGCCAGGAGAATACTGCGTCCTTTGGACCTGGGGTCCCTGTGATAAGAAGCTCCTTGACCAGGGAAGACTAGTGACAAGGACCTTCCTCCAGAGCTGACAGAGGAAGAAAGCCTTCCCCTGGAGCTGGCACCTTGAATTTGGACTTATAGCTTCCTAGACTTCAACAGAATAAATTTCGCTTTGTTAAAGCCATCCACTTGTGGTATTTCTGTTATAGCAGCACTAGATAACTAAGATGGGGGAATATTTGAATTTTGTCCATGTCTGCTCCATGACTTAGGGTACCTGGGGTGGGCCCAGGGGCACCAGGTGGCCCAGTGTTTGGGGCATAGAGGTGTGTTCTGAGGATGGGTTGGCTGAGAATCACTGCCCTTCCTGAATTTCAAAGCTCTTGGTGCTCCAGGTCCCAGCAGCCCCTGAGGGGTAGCATCTCACAGACGGGGAGTAGAGAAGCCCAGTTTGCAGTTTTCCCTGGCTGGTTAACACAGAGCTAGGACTAGAGTCCTATTTCTGGGTTTTATACCCAGCTCTCTTGGCCCATTCCATCCCAGCAGCCCTGCCCACAGACTGACTTCATAGGAAACCCTGACCTGACGTCCTCCACCTACATGGCATCCCACATGGGTGGAAAGGTCTCCAATGGCCTTTCCTGGGGTCTATCTAAGCCCTTCAGGACACAGAGAAGGCCCTGCCTCCCCCAGGCCCCTAGAAGCCTCCTCCAGGCACTCAAGCCAGGCCTCGCACCCCTCTACCTCCTCCAACCCCCATGTTTCAGAGGACCTGCACTTCAGGCCATGATTCACAATGATTCTCTGTCCTCAGCTATGACACATTCCCACAACCAGAACCTATACCTCCCTCTGCCTGCCCCATCCCTGCCTCCCCAGGCCCAATAAGAAGCTGGTGATCTGCAAACTCTCACTGGCTTAACTGCACCCTGACATGGACCAGAGGCTTGGGGTTGCTGGGGCACAGCAGTGAGTGGGGAACAGGGGCAGCGTTGAGGTGAGCTGTGGATGTTCTCTCTACCCTTACCCTTAGGTAACTGAGAATCAGCTAGGAGTTTACCCTTGAAAGCTGTCAACATCAGCCTCATTTCCTTGGAATATTCTCCAGCTCTGTTCCCCATCTGTCCTGCCTATAAAGGTTAAAGGGTATCAGAAAAATCAGTTGCCCTCAAGTCAATTCAGACACATGGCAACCCCATGCCTGTCAGAGTAGAACTGTGCTCCATAGGTTTTCAATGCCTGATTTTTCAGAAGTAGATCACCAGGCCTTTCTTCTGAGGCACCTCTAACTTTTTGGTTAGCAGCTGAGCACGTTAACTGCACCACCCAAGAACTCCACAAGAGCAGCAAATGGGGTTCCAGTACACAGCCGCCTCTCCCTGTGATCCTGCGCAGGTTTCTTCCCCTCCATGGACCTCACCTAGCTTCCTCATCTGTCAGTCAGAGACAACAATACTGGCCCTCTGTTCCTCAAGGTTGTGTGAAGACCAATGACATCAAGTGTGTGAAAGCCCTTAAAAAAAGTTAAAGGTTTTCCATCAATGCAGGTGTATTGTTGGTGTTATTATTATTCCCATGCACAGGTGTTATGATTGAGGCCCATGGGGGCTGATGCTCACCATGGTGGTGGGATCCAACCTGGGCCTGGGGTGGCCAGATTCTCTCCAGTTGGACCCTGCTGGGTCTCATGAAAGGGCCCAGGCGTGGAGAGAAGCTGCGGTCTGCCTGGACAGAGCTTCTTACTGGGAGGCATGCTGCCTTTATTGCTTATTATATATTATTTATTTAGTCTTAATTTATAATTGCATGATTGCCAGAGATCTTAGTGCCATAGGGACAGAAATATGCTGCCCAGTCCTCAATAAAGAATGCTTTTCCTGCCATAAATAAACAGAATATCCAATCAACTACCCATCAAATTGCCTGGCCCTGGCACAAACAGAACGCCACTAATGAGACACAACACGCATTAGCTTAATGCTCTACCAGGGGAAGCAAGCTGGCCTCTGAGTGCCAGCTTGGGCCACGCAGAGGACTGGAATGGGTGGTCCTCCATGCAGGCACACTTCAAGACAGCAAGAACTGACTGTGCACCCACTGTGCCACGTCCTGGGCTGGGTGCTGTGGGCACTATAAGGAAAGTCTTGCATCTGTTCAGGGAGATAAAATTCATGATACAAAGTACTGAGACACGGCATTAAGTGAAATCATGTGGCTCACGTAAGGGCCATGGAAGGGAGTCTGTGCAGGCAGGGTAGTCAGGAAAGGCTGCCTAGAGGAAGAAGACATGAATGGATCAGAGACAGAAAAGGGGTAATGTCCAGATGAGAGCCACACCATGGGCACAGGTGTGGAGGGAAGGAGGAGCACAGGGTGCTGGCAGCAGAGAGATGGGAATGCAGGGGCTGAGGCCAACCACTGGTGCTAGGAGAGGCATGAGAACGTATATTATCAGGGGTTTGCTTTTTAGCACTGGAGAGTCACAGAAGGTCCTGGAGTTCTGGGAAGGGCAATCTGGCAGAGTCGAAGGCCACTGCAGAACAAGTTTAACCAGGTTTCTTCCCTAACTCGCCTTCCACCATCCCCCTCCCAGGCTGGCTGGGACTCAGCTCCAGGAGGGGCCAGCCCGGCCCACTGGTACTCTCTCTGTCTGCCCTTTATCACTGTCAGCTGCTTAAAGCCAAGCCTGAGCTGGCTGCCCTCCCCAGCAGATTGGAGCTCCCCGAAGATAAGATGAATGTCTGCAGGCCACTGAGCTGAGATGTTCTGTAGGAAGCGGAAGAAGAGTAAGAACGAATAAACACCCATCACATTAATAAGAGTTTGGGAGAAGTGAGGAGCTGAAGCCAGGAGTCTCCAGATGGTGTTTAGTGAAGTGACAGTTTGATGCTTAAGAGGAAAAATGGAACCGTGGTCTGCTGGGGAGCTTAATCTCCACGGGGTGGGGGTGGGTAGGGCGTGGGCACCGGGAGCCTGGTGTGAGGCCTGTACTCACACAAGTCCCACCAGAGTCTGTTCCTGGTCCAGCAGAGAGGATGAGCTGCTGAGGGACCCGGCAGGCAGCTCTGGTCACAAGGATTCCGGTGCACACTCACCCACGCACACATTCCAATTAGCAGCTACTGAGAAGCTACCAGGCCAATCCTTGTGCCAATGCTTGGTCCACAGGGATGGGTAGGATCAGACCCTGTCCTCAAAGAGCTCATGATCTAGGGTGAGGGACAGGTCAAGAGGCCATGTTACACTCTGGCAAACTAAGGAATGCCCAGGGAATTCTGGGAACACAGGAAAGGCCATATTATCCAGCTTGGGAGGGATGGGGAAAGGCTTCCTGGAGAAGGTGATGTCTGAGCTGAGTTTGGAATGTTGATCAAGGGCTGGTGTGGCGAAAGGAGCTTGGGATACAGGAGAATGTCAGGCGAAGAGAACCAACCAAGCAAAGCTTGGGGTATAAAGCTGCATGGGTAGGAGGAGGTCAGAGTGCCATGGTGTTACTGATCTTGATGTCACAGTGGGAAAGAGTGGGGAGGAGCTGGGATAATGGTCAAGGGATGGATGTTACCCGTGAGTGGCGGAGAGTCAGTGAAGGGCACTCAGCAAGGTGCATGGACTGTCACCTCATCCTATTCCCTTGTCCACACACTATGTCATCAAAGGTGTCACAAAGCTGCTCTGGGTAAAAGGTTATCCCTGGCATGCCTACTAATCAAATCAAAACTAAAGCTGCTGTCATCAAGCCAATTCCAACTCATGGCAACCCCATGTGTTTCAGAGTAGAACTGCTCCATAGGGTTTTCTTGGCCTTTCTTCCACGGTGCTGCTGGGTGGACCCGAACCACCAACCTTCATGTTATTAGTTGAGAACAAAACTTCTGCACCACCTAGGGATCTCTGCCTGCCCACTTTGTTGTTAGTTGCCGTCGAGTAGATTCTGACTCCTGGCGACCCCATGTGTGCAGAGTAGAACTGCTCCATAGGGTTTTCAAGGCTGTGACCTGAAATCCCACCATCACTGAGCTCTTCCTTTGGGTTACATAGAGCCTTCTTCAGGCTCTTCTTTTGACATCCATCCTTGATACCACAGGCACTTTTGCTGCTATCACTCAAGGGAGAGACTGAAGTTTTGGGGCCTGGTGGTGGAGGAGAACAACCGAGCCCTGATGGTGGAAGGAGGCCATTTCTCCGAAATGCAGAGGAACTTGGGCCCTGTCTGTCCTGGGGTATGGCTGGGGCTACTCCAATGGAGGGAACTTTGGGCCCAAGCCAGAAGAAGGGCAGTAGCTTTGTTAGCACTGGGGAGCCACGGCACTCTGGGATGATCGATATGGCAGAGTCCAAGGCCACTTCGAACCAGGCTGAAGATGAGGTGGCACAAAGGCTGGTGGTGGGTGGAGTCCGTTGTTGGGGACAGGCAAGGGAGGGGCGTGGGGAGACAAAGGAAAGAGGGAGGGAAGGAGAGTCAAGGAGAAGTTTCCGACTCTGAATCCATTCTGTTTTCATTTCCCCCCAAGTCACACAGCTGCCAGAGTTCAGACAGATGCTGTGATTAGCATTTTAATGCATTTCAGAGGACCTTGTCCAAACTGCTCTGGAAATCAGAAATCAAGAGTTTATCTTTAGCTGTCCCTACAGAGCTACATTCTCTTTCAATTCCAAAGGAGCCGGAGAAACAGTGTGTGTATGCACATGTGTGTTTGTGTGCTCACATGTGGGCATGTGCCTGGGTGTCTGTGCGTGCATATGGCATCCTATGTGTGTTTATATGTACACATGCATCTGTTTTTGTACACACACCTTTGTGCACACATATATGCCAGGAACCCTGGGGTGTGGGTTTGTGTTTGAATGTTGAGCGTGTGCATGGAGCTGCATCTGGACGTGCACACGTACATTTTGCATGTGTGTGCATTATTCTACACGTGCCTTTGCAAGTGTGATTTCATCCCGGATCATTCACGTGGAAGAGCGAGAGCTTGATGCTGGTTGAAAACAGGCCAGTGCTGAGGGACTTAGGCTGTCAGGGGGCCTGGGCCTCAGCTGATGGGAAATGCATTTCAAATGTGGCTTTGGCTGCTCGGCAGGATCCTGCAGCCACGTTTCCAAACAATACTGCCTAATAGTATTTTTGAGCCAGGTGGAATTTGTAGGGTTATAACTCCACTCCCCTTGCCCAATGTTGATGTCCCAGGCCCAGCCTCTGAGAGAATTCTGGAGCCTTAGGTTGGGGGTGGGGCAGCTCCCAGTGCATCAGGGCAGAAGGAGGGGGTTGGGAAGCCAGGAGCCCTCATAACACTTCTTGTGTGGGGTGACCACCGCTCACCCCGTCTACCTTCCTCCCGAGATTCTCTTCCTGTGCCCCAATCTGGCCACACCTCGAATCTGCGAAGGCTATCCCACTTTAGGCTGGACACCCTCCAGCTTGCCAAGGTCCCCCGCGAGTGTAGCCCTCAGCAAGGAGGCAATGGGACATCACTTTCCTTCCTTATGTGGAGGTACCTGCTATCTACCCAAGATTACGGCAGCTTTTAGGGGGCTGAGCAACATCACTGGTTCCTTTGAGGTCTGGGGCCAACAAAAACTCCAGATCTTTAACTCCTGCAAGGCGAATTCACCCCTTTGTGTCACATGGGGCCCCTCAGAGTTGCTCTCAACTCAACTACCAGTAGAGACAGTGACAAGGAGCTGGGGGATGCATCCGTTGGGAGGGCTGGGGAGAAAAGCAGACAGTTCCTTGTGAATTTGTTTAATGTAAATACATCCTCTATTTATCTTTGGCTGTTAATAAATTCATGCATTATTAGAAAATCCCTCATACCAGCAGACCTGCTGAGCTAGATCAGCTCGTTTTAAGAGATTTCCTGTTGGCAGGATTCAAAGCCCATACCTGCAGCCGGCCCAGGCACAAGGATTTAACTAAACGCCGCAGATAATTAGATCAGTTAACTTCGCAAATTAAAACAAGCACATTGCATTAGCTCAGTTTATCCTAAAAGAAGATATTAAGTTCCCCCAGATAAATTGTTTAAAAAGAACAGAGAAAGATGGGGCATACTGTGTTTCCAGGACCTATGTGCAGGGGCTGGGGAGGGCTTCAACAGTGGCCAGGTATCAGGTTCATCTCAATCAATTGATTGGTGATGAATTGGGTTCTCGCTGCGTTCTAAAGGGTTGGAAGTGTTTGAGGAACACCCAGGCAGGGTGCAGGCTGTTGTTGTGTGTGATTCCAACTCATAGCGACCGTATAGGATAGAAAAGAACTGCCCCACAGGGTTTCCTAGGATGAAATCTTTTTTTTTTTTTTAATCTTTTTAAATTGTACTTTAGGTGAAGGTTTACAGAACAAATAGTTTCTCATTAAACAGTCAGTACACATATTGTTTTATGACATTGGTTAACAACCCCATGACCTGTCAACACTCTCCCTTCTCGACCTTGGAGGCCCTTTTTTTTTTTTTTGGTGAAAATACACATAGCCAAAGATACACCATTGCAGAAATTTCTACATGTACAATTCAGTGACATCAATTATGTTCTTCCAGTTGTGCTGCTATTCTCACTGTCCTTTTCCAAATTATTCCATCACCATTATCTTCAACTCACTGGTCCCCTAGGATGAAATCTTTACAGGAGCAGATCGCAAGGTCTTTTCTCCTGCGGAGCAGCTGTTGGGTTCGAACCACCGACCTTTCAGTTAGCAGTTGAGTGCTTAACCATTGCTCCACCAGGGTTCCTGGGTGCAGGCTAAAGTACATAAAGCTATGGCAAAGCTCCATGGGGTTGGAGAATAATGAGGGGTGTCAGTGGGACTGAGCCCACCCTGATACCTCATAATGCAGGACAGCCCCCAGTGGGGGTGCATCAGAGATAGGGGCTCACTCTCATCACAGAAGGCTCTCTGAAGGGACTATAATCGGTTGAGCCTCAGCCATGACAAGTTCCACCTGTTAGATGATGACTACTTAAGGAATTAAAGTCTTCGTGAATTTCAAATCCACTAATAGGTCCCTGGGTGACCCAAATGGTTAAGTGCTTGACTACTAACCTAAAAGCTGGTGGTTTGAACCCACTCAGCGGTGCCATAGAAGAAAGGCCTGGCA